AAAGAAAGAAAGAAAGAAAGAAAGAAAGAAAGAAAGAAAGAAAGAAAGAAAGAATCTCCTCATGAGCCAAAGTTTCCTTTCAGTCTCTTAGGCAAGGTGCCTGCCCCGGTCCCACCACCCTGCACTCTCCCATACCCAGAGCGGTGCACTCACCATCTCACCATTCATGTTAGAGCTAGCTAGCATCTTTATAGAGTCCTGAAAAAAAGCCATCAAGCCCACAAATGCTCTTCCTCTTTCAGCAACTGATGAATTTTGATTGATGGAAACAGACTTTCTCCCACAGGCCTTCGGGTTCTTGCTCCCTTTCTCAGCTCTCTAGCTCTATGTGTATAGACACTTATCTGGCAGCTCCTTTAGATGCCACCTCACCTCTGTCCCCTCTGATCCCTTCTCCCTGTCCCCATGTGGGAAATGTCCCTCTCTCCCTTCCGAAAGTTGACAACACTCCTCCTTTGATTCACTAAGGATTTTTGTTTCTATGGGGGTTTGTTTGGTTGGTTGGTTTTGGTTTTTTTTTGTCTCTCAACCACAACCTGTTTCTGTTTGATGGAGATGACAAAGCAGAGTGATGAAGACCCTGGCCCAGAGACAGACAGAGTCTAATCTGTGCTGTGCTTTTGGATGCGTGGCCACAGACGGGTCACTGAACCTCTCCGGGCTTCAGCTCCCCGCGCTGTAAAATGAGGATGGTGATGAACTTTACAAAGTCACCGTGGTGATGAGATGGCCACCCTACCAGGTCCAGCCCAGCGAGCCACAGTGAAATCTGTGTTGGCCCTCAGACATGACTCCAGTGGGGAAAGCCTCTTTGCTGTCATTCCCACCTATTACTGTCTTATTCCGTAACATGTCCCCCTGCTTCCAAGACAACCTGGAAGAAAAATGTCGTGGGGCCGGCCAAATAGCTCAGCAGATTAAAGCACCTGCTTAGGCAGACACAGGGGCTGGGGATTCGATCCCCAGGTCTGCCCTGCCTGCTCCACCCCCGGGGCACACTGAGATGGTGATTGAGACTGGGCGTGGTGGCACGTGCCTGTAATCCCAGCTCTTGGGAGGCTGAAAACAGGAGGATCACTAGGAGTCTGATCTAAGTGGTGAGACCCTATACACCCTGTCCTAAATACAGAAAAAGAAAAGCGTCGTGTTTTACTGGCTTACCCGGTGGGTTTACCTGTTTGTCAGGCTCTTACACTGGCTATACATCTGTGGCACATGTCCCAGCTTTTGAAACAGTAAGTTTTAGCTATTGTAAATTATCAGAAAGTGTTCTATTTCCATCCCGTCTTTTCCTTGAAATACATCAGCTTGCTAAAAGCACGTTCCAGATTTCTAGCCTGTGTGTCAAGGCAAGGATCTCTGAATCCTGCGCTATCCCAGATGGATTGGGAATATTTGACTCAGTAGACTGTTTTGCTCCAAGAGGCAGATGAGGTTGCTGCTTCAAAACAGCTGTCTTTCCCTGAGACAGCTTTCCACTGCACATCTGCAAGGACACAGATGAGTTCTTCAGCAATTCCTCAGCACGCCCGTGTAAATGCTCTCTCTGACCCTCAGAGCCCTTGAAACCCGGTAACAATACTCATCTCACAACTGGGCTCCCTCTCCCACACTCCTTCCCACTCACACCCAAAACCTGCTGGCAGCTTGTCCAGGAACGAACAGCACAAGGCACAATGTTTTGTTAACCTCCTTACACAACACTCCCTTTCTCTGCTGTTTCACGATCTGTAGTAATGTCAGAATTGGGAGAGACAAGTGGAGACTCCTCCTGCAGCATCAAAAGGTGAGCTCTGAGGCCTTGGCTGCCGCGCTCTGGGGACAGGAGGAGAGGAGAGGCCCTCCCCATCTTGCGAGGCCCCACCCACCTTGTGGCGGGAGACCAGGGGGAACAGAGTTTCCAGCTCACCTGGAGCCCCCAGAATCTGTCTGAGGCTGGTGATCATCATCCCAGGGGTCTCCCAGATAAAAGGGCCCCAAACACTTTACAAGTTTCCCAGCATGCATGTAAAGAGCTGTCACATTACGAGTCCTTCAGCTGGCCCATTGTTAAATTAATGCACCTTTTTACACGTGCTGGTATCCAGCTTAGACACAGTCTCGAAGTGTGATAGTGACATTATTAGGAAAATTCTCTCTGCCTTTTTTCCCCTCTAAAAGCAGTGTCCTAGCATTTTTGCTTTGGCCTAAACATTACTGTCTTATTTTTGAAATTATTTTTTAAGGTCATTTCCTATCCCAGAGGCCAACCATGGTCAAAATGCAAGAAAGGTTTTCAATATCCATTGATGGTTTCAATGCCATAATTTTGGCATTTCTCTTTAGCTCATACAGTGACCATTCCAGTCTGCAAAAGCAACAACAAAGGGGTATAATATCTGTTGGAGAAATAAGAAAGTAATTTCTAGGCCCAACCAAAGCAACTTCATTTTTTACTTAGTCTTCGCATCTGTGGCCTTGCGGATAGGTGAGCAGCTTGTCGCCCTGGCTGCCAGCTTCATCAGACCTGAGCAATCTGGTCAGTTACTGTCAAGAAACAAGGAAGAGAACAGTAATGAAGGGGCAGACCCAGAGCTTCACTTTCTAGTTGACACCTCATGTTCCCCTCCTGGGGCTGTTCCTACACTAGTGCAGATAATGTCACTCATTTCTCTGTAATCTACACATGGAAAATTGATGGGTCATACTCAAGTGCATTCATGTCAGCATCCTCCATGGGCCACAGGAGGTTTTTAATTGGTAAATAGTAAATCAAAGTCTAAGTTCCCGGATCTTCTTGAAAAATACAACAGTGGAACAACCACGACCCAGCATTCCCGCATGGGGCATGCGCTATGACCTGCCTCTCCTCTGTGCCTCCTGCCAACCCTGGTTCATTCATCTGTGTGAGCAGCTGGCCTTGACAAGCACAGGACTTTGCTGTCCTTCTCGTCATTCAGCTGCTGTAGTGGCCAGGGGGTCACCACCCAGCCAACCTCTCCTAACCTAGCTGTATGCTTCAAAATGAGTCTTATAAAGTAAACCAACAGCAAGCATTTTTCTAGGCATTCTTAGCATTCAGCCTGTGTCATATCGTTGGCTCACACTGAGAATGTGAGAAACGTCCAGGTATCCTTCGCATGGAGCTGATTACCAAACATGGTCTTCACGCCTCAGATTTTCTTACTGAGAACCTGTAATTTTGGCCTGCATTTCTGGTTTTCATAGAGCAGTCACGATTACCCAACATACCATGGTATGAAATCATCAAAAAGTTTTGAAATAAAGCCCTCCACAAGTACAAAATACTTTATCATTTCAATGGACTGTCCACAGACAGGGAATATGTTTCGGTCAGTACATATATTTTATGATTTCTGGTTTTACATGTTTTGATTTTTTTTAATTTCTAAAAATGTAATTTTAAAAGCATATTGGACTGAGAAACAATAGCTTTCAGCTATTACTCTGCTGAAAGATGCCTTGTTAGACGTATATTCCAATCAAGAATGCCAAGAAACCCCATTGCCTTTCTGTGGCTTTATCAACCCGGCTGGCACCTGGCCCTGCCACATCCAGGAGGTACAGCTAGCTCAGATCTGACTGCAACTAACACAATGCCGGGCAGCCCTGTGCTTCAAAGCAAAACTCAAACGTACCATTGGCTTTGAATCCTCTTATGATTATTTATACTATTACAGCCTTGTGTAGTTATGTTACAGATAAGGGGCCATGGATCCTTCGAGGAAGTCATTGCTCCCCAAAGTGATCTCTAACCGTGTATTACTAGTATAAAAATATTTTTAAAAAAATTAGGATGGTGGACACTGTTGTAAACAAGGAAACTAAGCCACACTGACTTCGTTATTTGCCTCTCATTGCTGGGACAAAATACCCAACAGCCAAAATGTAGGAAGGAAATGTTCATGTGGCTCGCAGTTAGTGGAGGTTTCAGTCCGTACTCAGCTGGCTCCAAGGCAGAGTGCCACACGGCAGACCGCCGCGGTTCACAGCTGCAACAGCAGAATAGCAAGAGCCGAAAGAGAGGAGTAGCGGCAGCGATAAGGGCCGAGTCCAGTCTCTCCTTTCCTGATGTCGCCTTTAGGCTGTCCGCCCCAGGGTGGGTATAGCACTCACACCCACAATCCCAGTACTACTCAGAACCATAATTGCAGACTCTAGAACCGTGCCCCAGTGACGTGTAAGGCTTTGGGGGGGGACAACTCCGCACAAACCACGACACACCCAAACCCGCAGGCTGCTTAGGGGCCTCGTGCAAGTCGGGATTTGGAAGCCTTGCGCCGCCCCGCCCCACCCCCGGGCCTTTTCTCCGTCCTTCCTGCTCCTCACGGCTCTTTCTCTTTCGTGTTTAAGATTGGAGCACAGTGCTACTTGGAATGTTCGGCCCTGACTCAGAAAGGTCTTAAAGCGGTTTTTGATGAAGCCATCTTCACTATTTTCCACCCCAAGAAAAAGAAGAAGCGGTGCTCTGTTCGGTGCAGCTGCTGTTCGGTGGTCTGAAGTCGCTCGCGTGCCACCTGCACTCCAGCCGGGGCAGGGAGGTCAGCGGGCAACCTCTGCCCGCAGCTCCAGCCAGAAAAGAAGGCATCACAGAGAGGACGTCCTGCCCCCGCAGGAGCTCTCGGAGCAGCACCCTGGTCCACCACCTGCCCCCTCCTTTTCAGCCAGAAGCACCCACCCTGCACCTATCTGCCTCCTCCCCGGCCCTGGAATGATATTCGGACAGGCCTGCTGCCGAGCACGGCAGACACACAGCCAGAGGCCGTGTTGCGTTTTGCATGTCCTGTTCCCAGGAGCCTCGAACTGCTGGAAAGTGTCCCGGAGAAACCAAAAGAGGAACTTGGGTCCTGTGCTGGCAGCCCTACTCCATGTCTTCTACAAAACTTAGAGCCTGACACTAGCCTTTTTTCCCTGAAACTGCTGTTTTCACCCATGTGTCTTACTTAGATTTGTGTTACTTCAAAAACTCTCCAATGGCCTCAGGTTCTACAAATCCATACCAAAGTAGCCTGAAGACAAGGTGATTTGTGTTCATTTCCATTTTTGGCAGGTTTCTACCAAAATTATTGGAACCAACATATACCTCTGAATGCCTGGTTATAAGATACAAGAAAACTTTTAAGCTTCTGGAAACTTACAATGCCATACTTTTTTAGCCTGTTTTAAAAAAAAAAAAATCTGAATTAGTATAGATCCACATATTTTTCCAAAGACTCGCCCTACAAAAGCTTAAATTGTAGATAGGCTGCTTTTTTTCATATATTGCCATGGCTAACCAAAAATAAACTGTATTTAAGAAAGTAACATTTCTGCTTTTCATACAAACTGATTGGGGAAAGAGAACAGCAGAAATAACTCTCTGAAAGTATCCTTCATTCTTCAAAGTAGCTCTCCTGCTCTCTCCCTTCCCCGAGAAACCCTTTTCCACCCATGGATCTGCACTTCCTCCCAGCCCTGTTCCTTTTGTTCCTCCCAACACAGTAGTAGCCTGGCCTCTAAGAAAGATCTAGACCCCAGATGCGAGAAGCCAAAGTTCCACAATCCCCTCAAATCAGCCAAACTGCCTCAATTTTTGTAGTTTCTTCCATGGAAAATGCTTCTCAGCTTGCCTTCTGTAAGCTCCCATGCTGAATGCAATGACACTCCCCAGTCACAACCGGCCCAGGCTTTCCTAACTCATTCTCCCAAGTATTTGTTCTAGTGACTACATTAGTAGGTACCAAGCTCTGAGCCCGTTTCCAGAACAATGTATGACATGCAACATGACCTTGGCCCTGAGAAAGGAAAAGCTCCTGATTATCCGCTCTTTCTACATGAAAATTCATTTCGTTTTATTGCATGAGTGAAGTTTATCTTTGCAGTATGAAATTTGGGGGTCGGGGATTCCAGGAATCAAACTCAGGACCTTGCACTTGCCAGGGAAGCCCTGCACAGGTGAGCATTACACGCTTAGCCTCTATGCAGTATGAGATGATACCAAGTTTTTCCAGAGTCTAGCGCCCCCCTGAGGAGGAAACCAGTCTTTCTAGTCCCTCTGCTCCTGGAGGAGCTACTTTAAAAAAAAAAAAAAAAAAACAGTTGCATGCTATGGGACCTTCTATAATTTCCCTTCAGTCTTTGGGGTTCTATTTGTTTAGAATTTCTGTAATGTGTTTTCCCTCCTCCCATACTCAAGTCCTAGTTCTCTTCTGTCCCATCTAATTGCTGAACTTTTTTTTTTAAATACACACACATCTTACAGGAAACAGAAGTTTTGTTAAGTCTAAGTTTGACATTTAGAAGAAATAAGGATTTTCTGCCTTTGTCAATGGAAGTCAACCACGTATGAACTATAGCTCTGCAGAGGCTATGAATGCATCATTTACAAACAATAATGAGTATTTAGCCCTGTAATAAAGAAAGTGCTGTAGCCAGTTTTGCTGCATCATTGCATAGTTACCTCTTGCTAAAGAGCCACTCCTCACTTCTCACTGACGTGGGTGAAAAATGGAAAGCAGTATGTTGGCTCCACCAAGAAAAATGTTCCAGATGTGTGCGCTCAACCGGCAAATAGCTCCGCAGGTCATCACCTCCCTAATGGGCCACTGGGATTAACTTGTTCATGGTGGGAGGATCACGCTCTCACCTGGAGCCAGGGCCTGTGCAGAGATCATTAGCGTCTGAGCAGAGCAGACTCCAAGAGGCTTGAGGGGCAATTACAAAATAAAATCACGTAGAACAAAGCTACGTGAATGAGTTCATGTCATTCCAGCACATTAATCATCCACTCCGCCTTGTGCCAAGATCTTGTTCACGTCACTGAAAAGTGTCTCTTTGCTGTAGGATTGAATAAAACTATACAGAAACCAGGAATAAAAGGGCATAGGAATCTAGAGAAGTAGCCTTTGATGGTCTGGACACCAAGGAGCAACTGATTTCCACATAAAGCCAGAGTCTTCACTTTCTAGAGTTAGAAAAGTTTTCAGAGGAGGTGGGGAGATAGCTCTGTGGTTTAAGTCACTGCTTGGCAAGCACAAGAACCCAACTTCAATCCCCTGTACCGCATGCCGCGCCAGCCCTGGAACCCCAGGTGCACCAAGCTGGCCACCAAAACCAGGTGTGGTGGCACACATCTGTGATCTCAGCACTGAGGAGGCTGAGACAGGAGGTTCACTACATGCCCAAGCTGGGTAGTGAAACATTGTACCAAATAGATATGTAAAAATAAAAAATATATATCAGAAACTATGGTGGTGATGAGGATAGTATTGGCCCTCAGGGGCTGGAGGAGGGCCTAGGATATATCTACGTGATGGGAAAGTACTGGCTGAGGGTGGTAGCACATGCCTATAATCCCCATACTTGGGAGGCAAAGGCAGGAGGGTTATTCCCTTGAATTTGAGACCAGTCTGGGCTACATAGTGAGTTCCAGGTCACTCTGCATTACAAAGTGAGGCCCTCTCTCTAAATAAATAAACAAACTATGGCCTATTCTTTATATTATACTTGAGACACTCAGCCTACATGAGCTAAGAGAGGCCCCACTGTGCTGACTGTCTTTAACCCCATACTGTAGGTCCCTCGCTTCCTCACACACTAACTTGGCTTTGGGTAGGTACACCACTGGGGCTGCAATTGCTCATCCTACAGATTCTAGCCCCATTATTTTTTTCCATAATTTTATTGAGAAACAAATAGCAATGAGACAGTGTCAAAACCGATTAGTATGACACTTTCAATAATTAATACATTGCATATTGTTGTCTTAGTGGTTATTTATTATACAAGATGCAGACATGATATCCTGTTTATAAACACTATTTATAAACACTATTAGAACAAATCTTTCTATGCATTGAATTAAGAGAATGTAGCTATCTATCCTATTTTGAATATACAGATACAAAATGGTCATTCATTTGTATCACCTTTTTTTGTTTAGTTTTGTCATTTGAATATTACAGGTGTGTGAATTCAGCAAAATATTCCAAAATAGTCCAGTAGTCCATAATAGTAGTGGCTTACCCATAAGACTGGCAATGTCAGAAGTTGTTGAATTGAGCCTTGTACAGCTCAGCATATTAATATGGCTTTACTTTTTATACTTCATTTTTATACTTTCCTTCTGGATGGTTAAGACCCAGATAAAGCAAGACCTATATAACAATAAATGTAGCTTTTGTATCTGATAAGGTCAGACAAGTCCCCTCAAAATTTATCTTGAAACCCTGTACCGCAGTTTGTAGATCCCTTGTCAATGTCAGTCATGTGGATGATTCATGACCATCGCTTGACCAGTTTGCTCTCTGTGAAAGCCTGAAAAAATGTTTTCTCTCCATGTAACTCTCCTTAGACACACTCTACATTGTCAATCACTTTCCTCTGAGGCCCCATAATCTCCTTGATCAGAAAATTTGGGACATAACTGAGTTACATGATGTTCTAGTACAAGTTCTCCTATGTCCTGAGTCTTCACTGACCTTGAAATCTAGCCCCATTATTAACATACACTTTCATGGAACTAGGCCACTATTGGGAAGATAATATAAACTAGTAATAAAACAGACTACACGCAATTTAATCCCAATCTAAGGACTTGATCGAGTTGGCTAGTTTGACCAATTTTTTTTTTTTTACTCAAATGATTGGTCCCTAGGTAGAATAAGTGAACTCTCTGGGCTACTTTAGAAATATAAAAGGACTAAGACATAAATCATATCCATGATTAGAAATCTGGACTGATTTCTTCCAAGAACAGTTAGACTCAAAGAACAGTACTGAATACAACTCCACAGCCCTAAACCAGGAAGTGCTAAGTTGGAAATTCAAAACCTAAGCCATACATCTATGATAGGAGAAGGCTTGGGAGCTAAGATGTCAACGATAATGTTTCTGATCATGATACACAAAGAACCATTTGAAAGATTTGTGGTCAATCAGAGAAATAGCAAATGAAGTAGATATAACCATAGATAGGCTTTACTGGACCACCAAGCAGGGGATGAAACCTAAGGCAAAACAAACACCTGACGATTCTCCCAGAGGATTGTTAACTTCTACCCACTCTCTAGAAACAGGAAAAGAAGATTGTTGATGTGAGCTTGCTATGATCAGCAGCACAAATCACCGGATAATTTCACACATGATTTGCTACAGATGAATGTTATCCTGGACAAAGCTCCTCCTCGGGTCTTTAGTAGTAGGGAGGGACCTCATCCTGACAGGAAGCCAAGGGAAACTTACCAAGAAATACAAGGGAATAAATGACTCTGAAAGTTTCCTTGAGCATGAACTTGGAAAGGATGACTGGGAGGTATCTAGAAAGGTCATTATTTGGATGAATGATATTTAGTCATCTTCAGTGAGATATTTCCAGATAGAAAGACTATATTCAGTATGAACACATACAATAACAGAATGCAAACATTAAAGATAAAACAATAATTCTTGGTGCTTCCATAGGCATCAAAGACCAGAAAGCAAATGAGAGCAGCAGGCTCTCTGTTTAGCGTCATTCAGCCATCAGGGGCTCAGCTAGGCTTTCTGGAGCTCTTCGTTTCAGGAAAGAGTGAGCCCAAGGGAGGTTGGCTCATCTTCGAAGTGGTGGGCTGCAAGTCAAACAACCGTTGCTGGCTTTGAAATTCCATTTCAGGAACTGAGGGTAAAAGCTGCATGGATAATCTTGGTCACCATCTATGATTTTTCTCTGTGGAGCCTATTAGGTTGCTTGGTTGTATGTGTTTAAAATGTGTTCCCTCCTGATAGTTTATTATCTAAGCTCTGCAATAACTCAGAGACCTCTGACACTAGAGCTGCAGTTATTTTTCTTTTTTCTGTATTTCAGTCCACATGACCCAAGCATCTCAGTACATGCAGTTACCCCTGCTGAGCAGGGTCTGATCAGCATTACAGGGGATGTGATACCGGGACACTCTCAGATTTGTAAGGCCCAGACTTACACCTTCCCTGAAGCCACCTTGTTCAGCACATTTAGCCTTTCAGTGACCCTGCACAAATCAGACCTTTTTTCTTTTTCTTTCTTTTTTTTTTTTTTTTTTTTGAATGCATATAAGTTCTTTGAGAAAAAAAAAATAGAGACACTTTCTGAGGAGATTCTAAGCAGACTCGTTTCTCCCCAAGGACCCACAGACATGAAAGTCAGTGAATTCTACATTCTCTTTTCCTGATCGAATTGTTTTTTGTTCCCTGTGAACAGCAATTGTTATTTAAGGACTTCTCAGCAGAACATGGTCCCACTTGCAACAGTCCCTGTTCCACCCATTGCAATGTCTGTGGCATCCAGGAATGTGCAACTGACCAGTTCAGGGGCTGGCGTTCTTATAATCCACATTTTACTCAAAGGTGATGAAACTACCCTTTTCATAATTAATGGGATATAATTTCCTGGACTCTTTAACCTGACAGTTTATTGTGTGCTGGGTTCTGACTTCCAAGTCATTAAGTGTCTTCTCCCTGCTCTCCTTTGTGGTCATCTGAAGGTGTGTCTGTCAGCCACTGCAGCAGGCTGACTGCTGTGGGTCTCTATTTTCTTTCTTTTTTTGTGGTTAATTTTTTTTTCTAATTAATTTTATTGAGACAGAAATAGAAATGAGACAGTTTCAAAACATGCACTAAACTAAAGTCAAAGTGGATTAAAGATCTAAACATTAAAACAGAAACACTAAATCTCCTGGAAAAGAAAGTACGAGGAACTCTTGAAGACATAGGGATAGGCAAACAGCTCATGAACAAAAATAAAACTGCAAGGGAAATACTAGAAAGAATTAACAACTGGGACCACCTCTTACCATGCATCTCTTAGGGGGGCAGGGAGATGGCTCAGTGGAATAAGCGCCTCCTTGGCAAGCGCAAGGGCCTGAGTTCAATCCCCAGTTGAAGAAGAAGAAGAAGAAGAAGAAGAAGAAGAAGAAGAAGAAGAAGAAGAAGAAGAAGAAGAAGAAGAAGAAGAAGAAGAAGAAGAAGAAGGCAGATACATCCCTAGCATGCTAGCCCGACTCACTAACGTTTAAGTCATTTACTAGATGAGTAAAATGACCAGTGGAGCCTTTGTTTTTATTGCCCTGTGCTACCCAGATGCAACACAGGAGTATGTAGATTTTAGGATAGAGCAGAGGGCTCAGGAGATAGCTCAGTGGCATAAGCACCTGCATGGAAAGCACAAGGTCTTGAGTTTGGCCCTGGAACCAAAAAAGAAAGAAAGAAAGAAATCAATAGAATAAAAAAAAAGCAGCAACAGGCTTGGAAGATTTGCTAAACACTGAAGCATTTCTGTTCTAAAAATCTTTCTGGCATTGATAAAGAGAAAAAAGAAAATGCACCCTCAAACTCACCTTCAAGAAAGATTCCTGTCATACGAAGTTTACAAATTTATAGAATGAAGATAAAACAAACTCCTGAGGCATAAAACTCTTGGAGAAGCTTCTGCCATTGTTGCTTCAGACATAGAGCTCTGGGGGCAAGATAGGGCCTGACTACAACCACGGGCCCTGCAAGCGGGACCTAAGCCCATCTGCAGACTCGCGTCTTCTTTGCCATATGAAGCACAGACCAGACCTCACCCATTTAGTCACCATATTTTTACCAAACATCACTGGGGACCAGACTCTGTGCTCCCCGCCCACATTGCACTCTGTGCAAAGTCCTCTTACAAACTGCGCATACGTAGGTGAAAGCCTACGGCCTTATCCAAACACCTACCTTTAATCAAATCACAGCACACTAGGGTCACCACTTCTTTGTACCTGCAAATAACCTAATGAGGTTATTAGGTTAAGAAAGAGCCTGATGCCCCCAGATATGTGCAGTCACTAAGAGTCCACCTCCTGGGCACAGGACGGTCACTTTACACACACACACACACACACACACACACACACACACACACACACACCAGGGCTCCTCCATATGCACACAGAGGCATTACTGATTCAGTTGGGTGGCCTACATGCTCAAGCGGTAGAAACCCACCTCTGTCCCAAGATGACCCTTCCACTGGGAACCTTCAAACAGGACAGCCTTTCCCTC